CTAGATCTTCCAAGAACTGCCCTGGGACCCCGGGCTACTCAACCTCACTTTCCTCACCTATAAAATGACAGAATTACAACCGGAAACCTACTTTTGCCCACCCTGTATACCTCTAGTAGCCTGTAATTACAATAAAAACTCAAGTGAAACATAGAAAATAATCATAGTAAGATCCAGAAATTTTACATATACATAATATATATACACATATAGTGAGAGAAAGACAGAGACAGAGATAGAAAACTCACGCACAATCACAAAGAGACATGTACAAAGATGTTCATAGCAGCATTGTATATAATAGCAAAAACATCTTGGAACTAATCTAAATTTTCTTCATCAGGACATGGGTCCATAAACAGGGGATATACTGATACTCGGATACCACATGGCAGTGACAATGAATGACTCAGAACCATACATAGTGACTGAATGGATTTCATTAACACCGAGGAAGAGAAGAACAAGTTGCCAAAGAATATATACACTACAATGATATCATTCATAAAATTTTAAAACATGCAGAGCAATATTATGCATAGCTGACCTAGTAAAATTATAAGGCTATATGGAAAGATGATTAATGCAAAATTTAGAAAATGGCCATTGTGTGATGGGATGGGGGAGGCAGAAGCAGCAGCGCAGAGCTGGGCAGTGGCCTCCATGGGGCGGATAAAGCTGGGGGATGAATAGAGAGGTTCTCTATGTCCACTGGGTAGTCTTATACCTTTTAAAATATGTTAAGTATATTGTTGTGTGAGCTTTGCATATCATCACTTCAAAAATCCTTTTGCATCCTTATGAAAATGATCAACTCTACCTCCATCTTTTAAGACGCTAATTTTCAGAAACTTTTAAAAAATGTAAGTGCACTTTGGCTTAAACTTTAAAGCATTTATTTGACTTTTATGTGGCCAAATATATTAGCACATGTTTGGTGTACATGGTTCCACCAGTAACGGGACTTTTCCCACGTTTATCCTGATAAAACTGTGGTGCACCGGAAGCCTCCTATTACCGTCTAAGGTCATAGCCAAACCTTAGGACACCAGAATTAGTATAGCCTACTAAGAAATTGCAGAGTTTCGTCCGTGGGGAAATGCATGCCATGTTTTTCTGTGTCCTGTGAAAGTGCATCTTCCTGCTCTCCTCTATTCACCATCCTCTAGGGACAATGGATATTCCTTTTCGTCCAGATGCAATAAAATCTAGCTTTGTTACAATGTGAGGGGAAACCTACAGACTGATTTGGGGTCCAGCTGATTTAAGACTTTCACACCAGCAACTCTAGCTATTAAACTTTCCCTCATTGGGGAATTTATTCTTAGGGTGTTGTTTAGTTGACATGTTATAGATTTGTATTAAAAAATTTTCTTTTCAGGCCCTGGCTGGCGTAGCTCAGTGGATTGAGCACGGGCTGCGAACCAAAGTGTCGCAGGTTCGATTCCCAGTCAGGGTACATGCCTGGGTTGCAGGCCATGACCACAGCAACCGCACATTGATGTTTCTCTCTCTCTCTCTTTCTCCCTCTCTTCTCTCTCTAAAAAATAAATAAACAAAATCTTTAAAAAAAAATTTCTTTTCTACATTGAGTTAGACACAGAGGTAATATGCCCCTTTGTATCAAAAATGTCATGTCTCGTATATCTCATACACACTCAGCAGATACAGCAATAGTCAGTGCAAGAAGGGTCAGACAATGGTGTTCTTAAAGTTCTCACAACTTGTTACATTGTCCATTTGGTTCAAGTGAGAATCTAACCTTCACGAATCTGGCAAGACTTTTCTTGGTTAGATTTTATGTAGTTTTCTTGTCTCAGTCTCTCCAAAATGTCAACTGTGAAGACCCTAGAACCATTTAGAATCCAGGTAAAACCAATGGCTGGAGAGTTGTTTTGTTTGTTTGTTTGTTTGTTAATGAATCATCTTATGAGATCATCTTATTCATTCACTCATCAATTCAACAAGCATTCATTGCCTGCCCACATGTCGGGCACTGCGGTGGGCACTGGGGATCGGGAGTGAACAAAAATGGACCAGGCCCTCGTCCTCGTGGGGCCAGCATCGCGGGGCTTTTTCAGAATAACTCATAGGATTTCAAGGACACTCAGGTACCTATGATGACAGGGAGGATGGGTGACAAGCTCTTTCAGAAAGCCTTCCCAACCTTCTGTCGTTTCCCAAGGTGAGCTAAGTGCCTTCCTCTGTGCTCTCAGGACGCCAGGGCCCATCTGAGCAGCCGGGGTGGCTGTTACCCTGACAGGTGGCATTTGTATTCCAGCTCTGCCACTCACCAGCTGCAAACCAGTGGGCCATGAACTCGGCCCTCCTGTGCTTAATAACTAGTGAATCCTTACCGAGCACCTACTGTGTGTCAGGTACTCTGTGAAGTGTTTTACATAAATCATTTCATTTAATCTTCCCACCAACCCTAACAATGCAGATTCCGTTAGTATTATTCTTTATTCCTAAGAAAACTGAAGCCACAAAGCCAGGTTAAATAACCTACTCAAGGTCAGTAATGTGGGTAGTAAATGATGGAACCCAGTAAGTCTGCCTGGGCCATAGTGAGACCCAATAAGTATCAGCCTCATCACGGCAGGGACTAAGGGGGCACAAATGAGGTGAGTCATACAAATTCATTGTCAAATCCTGTCTTTATTTAAATTTTTGACACTTTGTTCATGGATTTTTTGTGTTTATGTTGATTTTTAAAAAATATTATTGGTCTGATTACTGAGTTTGGGGCACCCACTTAAATTCTGTGCCCAAGGGGAGTGCCTTCCTCACCTCACTCCAGTCCCAGTGTCGTTAGTACTATCATTAGTGTCACGTTTGAAGGGGTGTTACCTATGTGTCTATCGATTTTCCCAGTTGAACTCAGATGTTTAAAGTTGGCTCACACCCATGTCTTGTGTCCATAAAGACTAGTAAAGAGTTGGTACAGAGTAGGGTTTAATAAATATTTGCTGAACCAAACTTTTGCCTCTATAATTACTCAAAAGGAGGCTAATATCCATTCAGAGAAAAGAGAGAACTAGACAACATCTTCAGTAGCTACGCAGTCCAATCAGTCCATTGTATATGATTGTTGGTAGTGATACTATTAATAGTATTTACATATTAACCGTGGCCATCAGCTATGGAGTACCCGCCAATGCCAGCACTTAAGGTGCCTCATCTCAGGTGCTCATCACGAGGCTGGAGGCTGCCGCTCAGCACTGTGGAGCCACTCGCCCAGGGCCGTGCAGCCAGTAAGGGCGGTCAGCACTAAGCCCAGGTCAGTGTGAGTGCAGACCTGGGTTCTTGGTGTTCCGCCACCACCCTTTCTACCTCAGCTCGCAGTCCCGGGAACGATGTGAACAAAGCATGTCTGTGGTCACAGAGAGGGGAGAGGGTGATTTTAGAACAATTGTAAACTTACAAGAAGAAAGATATGTAAAACCCACACACCCAAGAAGAGGGGAGTTGCGGGGCCCTTCCGTGTAACTGTGCGATGCCACCTCTGCCCATTGCTATGAGGTTGTTGTAGAAACGATCCCATACTGTGGTATGGCCTTGACCTGTATCCATCCACTTGATCCAGGACCTGCCTTTGTGTCTTAGATAAGGAAGCGAGCCACATTCTTTGTCTTGCCTTGTCTTCTGGGTAGTTTGAGGAGTCAGTCTGCCCCGCTGACAGGAAGTCCATGCAGCTGGCCAGCTGGCAGTGGGCACCCAGACTAGAGACAGGGGAGCGGCCGCACTCAGAATCTTGCCTTTTGTTCCCTAAACTAAGTACCGAGTGTCTAAGAGCCTACTCAGGTTTCCACCATAAACAATGTGGCGGTATTTTCCAAAGTGTGTTCCTTAAAACACAGTACAGCGGAATTCAGTGGTTAAGTAAGCTTACAGAGGCCTATCTGTTTCTCAGACTTCAGAGGGCTGATGTGGGCAGTGCCCCTCCAAGGAAGGAATATCACCAGCTGCATTTCTGAAACCCGCTTGGCCGGGGAGTATTTGTATGGAGTACCTTGTAAGACTAGTACTTTGTGGGATGCACTTTGGAATATGGTATGTGAGGGTCCTTTAAATAGTCACTCATTAGGATGTGCCAAGAAGGGGAAATAATTCTTAAACAATTAAAATGGTGATGTTGTTTGTTTGTTTATTCTTGCTTTCTCACTATAACAATAAAAAAATCATATGACTACATTCAAGTTTTGAAAATAGAAACGTCACCCTTACTTTCACAACTTCAGAATTTTCCCTCTTGGTTTAGTCGTATCTGTACACCTCCAAGTGAGTATCCACGTGCGGGTGTGGATGCAGCACTTCAACTGTGCAGGCACCACGCCAGGTGCGCTGCACACCCCACCTCATGTGACCCTCACAGCAACTCCGGGAGGCAGCACATCTCGTCCCCACGTTAGACCGTGGGGAATTGAGGCTCAGAGGGTATAAGTGACTTCCCAAAGTTGCACAGCAAGCAGGTGACTGACCCATTGTTTAAACACAGTTATTTTTTGTTCCATCGTTTATGTGTTTAAATGCTGAAATGCTGAAACAATTACCTTTGTACTGAGAAAAAGTATTTGTCCTGAATTTACTACCAGGAAGTGTATCTTATCTTGGATGGCCACACAGCTCAGCTCTGTGCTGAGCGATAAAAGAACATTCCAAAATGGTCCCTGCTTTTTATTTGCCCTTGCCCATCTTCTCTGACTTCCAGTGCCTTCTGGCAAGTAATCCTCGGTGCGGGACCACATTGCTTTCAGTTTATGGCTCGATAATCCTCTCTATTGTAAATACATTCAGAAATGGTTGTGGCTTTTTCTTGAGGCCTCAACATTTTTTTAAAAGTGATTTATTTTGATAGTGCTTTAGCCTCATGATTTCAAATATTAAGTTACTTGGTTCAGGTGGTCTTATGTTTTCCCATAAATGTGTTTATGTTGCCCCACAGAGTGGGAGATTTCATTCCAGGTTTTTTTTTTCTTTCTTCATTTGATTTTGTGTAGGAGGAGAACTGAATTCTTTGAACTTGTACGCAAGGGAGAATACGATTGGAACCTCAAAAACCATCGTGATATATTTCGGTAAGAAAAAGCTCTTGTTTGTGTTTCTTCAGTATTTGAACATTTAGCTTTGCTTTTCTAACAGTGTGAAGAGCAGACAAGCAATTTACAAAGCAACAAACCTTAGCTTATGTTCAAACAGTTGGAGATTAGTTGAATAATTACAAAGAAGGTAGAGAATGTCTTTTTGTGTCCCAATGTATTATATTTTTGCCTCCTCTCCAAAATTTTGCATTCAAAATTAGAAACTAATGTTCAGATTGGTTCAGTTGCAGCAAGCCAGGACTGCCTCTTTCTCCAGACAAAGTGGGCTTGCAAGTCAGTGGGGAGAACAGATGGGGGTGGGGCTGAGTCTCAGAAAACAAAGTTGCACAGAATAGAGGAAAGTGGAGAGTTAACTTCTGTTTTTCTTTAGAGACAACGTGTGTTATTATACAATAGATAGAAAACCAACCAGACTGTTTGGGTGGTGGAAGTAGGAAGCCTGTTCTAGCCTTTTCAACGGAGGAATTCCTGGTGGTTTAGAAAAGGCAGCCGAGAACCACCTCCCCGTGGCCCGTTTTCACTGCCCGTTGCAGCCACTCCCGCGGGTGCCGCACCACTTCTCTTCGCTGTACCCTGGCCTTCCAATGTCCCCATCTCGCCCACCCTCAGACCGTCTGCTATCTTATGCCCGTTCCAAAGCTGTTAGGTATTCCTGAGAAAGCTTGGGAGGCCGGGATTCTGGGTTCGCTGCGCCTGCTCCACAGCCAGGCCACCACTGAATCGCTCCGAGGGGCGCCCGATCCCTCTCCCCTCCCATTTGGCTCTGTGAAACCTCTTCAGGGGAGCTCCGCCTGCCCCGGCCCTCTGCAGCGGGCGCTCCTCGGGCCTCTCAGCACAGGGCCTCCTTTCCCCCCTCTGCCTCTCTGCGGTCCTCTTTCTCTGCGTCAGCTTCGCAATTTTCAGTGCCCCTTTTTGAGGACAAGGGGGAAGCTCCGAGCCCCTCCACTTGTGTCCTCATTCCGTTCCCTCCCCCTCCCTCACCCCAACCCTGACCTTGCTATATCAGTTGTACTGTCTTCACTGGCATTTTCAAAATATGTTTGTTTGTTTGTTTTCCATGATGAGTTTTCTAAAAGTATCCTTCCATCTCAGCCAAAACAGTCATCCCTGAAATCTACCGTCTTCTCCCGGTGCAATCCTAGTTCTCCCCTTTCCTTCAGTTCCATACTTCACTCATACCCCTCTCAACTTCTTGTGAGGCAATTTCTTTCTTTTTAAGTAACTTTCAGTTCCACAAGGAACTTCGGGAGTATGTTTTTCTGTAACAGATTAAAACATTACAGATAGACCTCCGATTCCCCTTGAGCTTCACTCCGGACTCTCAGAGGCTGCGTAGCTGTGCTGTTACCAGTTGGTTGTGTCTTTCCAGGCCATTTGCAAAGCAGGCACACACATGTGTAACCATAGGAAAAAAGACTACCTAGTGTGAACTTGTCTGTTTTAACATAAATTATATACATGCAAAGTAAGCTGAAATTCCTTGTTCACTCAACTATGTGCCTTGGAATTCTTTTCATGTTCATACCTCGTCATTTTTTATTGCTGCGTAGTATTCCAAAATATAGACTTAGCACAGAGGAGTTTAGTCTGTAAAGCATGATTTGCTACTCCTTCGGAAAGGCATCACTCACCTCCCAAGAATCTAACTCTGCAAACTTTTTCTCTTTGGCTTCCTTGATCTTTTCACAAACCCCTAATTGCATCCATTGGCTTTTGCTTTTCTTAAAACTATGTCCTGCCTTGGATTCTGTAAAGCCATGATCTTCTGGATTCTCTGCATTCTTTCTGACTTTTTCTCTTTGTCCTTTTCCAGGTGACCACCTCTCCACTCCCCCTGCATGTAACTGTTCCCCCAGGACCTGTGTTTAGTCTTCAACTCTTCTTTCTGAGCATCCTCCTGGGCTCAGCCGCCATCTCTTCCCAAAGGACCCCCGCTTGCCCACCTTCTCGGGCCTGGCCTCTTCTGAGCATGACTCCTAAAATGCCAGTGCTCGTTCCCCATGTCCTCCCGGATGTTTTCTGGCACAGGTGTTCTAACGTTTTGGCAGGGACCCCATATTTTTTAAAAAAACTTACCTGGAAGCACAGTGTGTAAAACAGAGGTGCTCTGGGAGCTGTCTGCTCCCCCCACTCAGCCCTGCCCCCCCATTTCACGGTTACACTCTGACGTGTGCACCGAGGTGGGGGGCTCTGGGGAGAGCTGTCTTAGAGAATTTTAAAATAGTAATCAAACCAACTGAAAGTTGGTCTGCATTTTATCATCACCATGTGCCTTCAATCTAAACAATGTCATTAAGGAGACACTCTTCCCCAAGAAAAACCTGTTGTTGTTGCAAGTTGTTAACAATTGCTAAAGTTCCTATTGGGTATCACAATAATTTATATGAGGGACTGGTTGACCAGAAAAGAAATCTATATGAAAGCTTCAAATTAGCACATTATTACTTATCCAGTAATTGTACCTGTATCGTACATGTAAGTTCATTCCAAGAACACCCAGTTGTACAGTCAGCCCCCCGTGCAGGTGCACACACTTTCAAGAGCAAGTTCCTCTCAGTCGGAAGCCGGTGCACTGGCTCCAGGCGTGGTTGTGGTCTCCAGCCCCGGGGAACGTCACATTCCCGCTTCTAAATAGGACAGTCAGAGTAAACAGTGATGGCACAGGGACCGTAAGGATGAAAGAACATAACTTGGGTACTTTAATTCTGTCATTTTACATAACGATTTGGGGGCTTTTTACTTGTGTTTATAATTTAAAACAGTGAAAAAGTACAGACTGCGAGGTTTTGATGGGTCAGTGCAAAATTCAGTTCATACATGACATCTTTTACTGAATTTGAATATACCTTTAAAATGTATTCCTTTGAGGTTGCTAATTGTTTTAAAACTAGAGAACAAATCAAGAAAGATTCTCATGGAACCACTTTCAGCATATAGAGGAGGGGGATGGCAAAAACGACCCACAGTGAGGGTCTGGCGCGGAGGTGGTATAGCGCTGTTCCTCAGCCCCCACCCCACCCCGCCACTGAGGCCAGAGTCCTGCCCTCCTCATTGCTGGCCCTCATCCGTCCCATTGCACTGAGCCGGGTGACACCACCTCACTGAAGATCGAAACAGAGCTATGCACCTCAAAACTAAAACAGTTGGTACAAACGCCATCCCTGCTCTCTGTCTCTGGAAAAGGCCTTTCACTTCTTGCAGAGGCTTGATCTAAAAAATAAGAGAGAACTGCTCATTTGCCTCCTTCAGTTCTTCCCGGGAATCCCCCACCCTATCTTTGCCTTCCCGTTCTCTCGCCTCCTTTGTTGTAGGCCCTTTCCAATTCATGCTTGTCAGCTGTTGTCCCTGCCTCTGTTCCCCCTTTGTCAGACCATTTCACACCTACCACCTAAAGTTCTCTCCTTGAAGGTCCAGCCAGGCCCTCCCAGCCCTCAACCTTAAATGACTCCCTAGCGCCTATCAGATAAACGTTTCATCTCTCCCCAGGCCCTTTCCGTCTTCCTTCTTGGTATAGACTTTCTGCTCCACTTTCATCACAAGTAGAGACTCTTTTGCCAGACTTTGTGGGTAACAATCCTAGCTTTGATACTTTTCAGCTGCATAACCTTGGGCAAGCTATCTAACTTTTCTGGTCAAGGAATGTAAAAGACCATTTGCTTCATAAAATAGAAATAATAATAGAATCCCTGCTCAACAAATGGTAGCTATTAGAATTATCATCATTAGAGCACCTAGAAGATATCCACAAAATTTATTACTAACTGATTAATGGTGATCTGAATATGAATTTGAAAAGTAAGTTTCAAATGACCAAGCAGATGGAACCTAAGTAATTATCCAAGTTATGGTGCAAATAGGCAAGCTTAGAGAGGTTATTTTCAGTCCAGAAGAGAGACTGCAAAGCCCAGCGCATTGCCTACAGTCTTGTCTCCCTCTGGTACAAGCAGAGCCTAAAATGAGAAGCATCCCAGTGCAGCAAGAGGGGTTCTGGTAGCTTTGTAATAAGCACAGAATCCTGAATCCTCTACTTGCTTTGGGAAGGTGGCTTGACCCCTCCGTGTTTCCATTCAGCTCTCTGTAAAACAGGAATCAGAGCGCCCACCTCAAAGGCTGTGACGAGGATTCATTTAGTTGGGAGTTAGTTGGTAAAGCACCTAGTACAGAGACAGGCAAACTATGAGCTGCAGAAGTGCTTGCTACAGAAGGCTGAGTGTGAAGAATAGGCTGATGCTGGTGTGCCTGGTTGTGCTCTGAATGGCCCATTGTTATCTGCCTCGTTCCCTGGAGGGGTTTCCTGAACAAGTTACACCCACCCCTGCCATCCAGGCTCTGCCTTCTGGCAAGCAGACACGTTTCCCTGGCCCTGGAATCCGGCAGGGTATGAACTGCTAACACCTGACATCAGGACAGCCCTCTGGCCCTAAACAACACACCCTTTCTTCCAAAAGGAGCCAGCCAACATGTGGTTTCTCAGCTCAGATCCGTCATTACTTTTCATCGCCTACTGCTGCTTGTAGTACAAAAAAAGCAAATTTTGGACAAAGAGTGCGTCTTATTTTCCCCTTTCCAACCACATCACATCAAAAGCACCAGTGCTCTTCACAATTTGAATTGTTCCCCCTGTCTTTATATCTATGGTTCAGTGTGAATTCTAGTTAAACCCAATAGAAATCTGTCCCTCAAAAAATCTGATTCTGATCTTTCCTCTGCTTTCTTACATGGTCAGATTCGTGAGAGCTGTAGCCGACTGTGTTTCTTTGTAATTCTTATACAACATGGTCGTAGCCAGGTAGTATACTGGAGAGAAACAGCATGGCTCTCGCCCATAAATCTTAGCTCCACAGAGGAGAGGACAAGGGCCTTCCAATGCGGCGTGGGCCTCGCCTCTGTGCTGTGGGCTTCCTTCTGTTCCCATCAATCAGTGATAAGCTGGTAATTAGATTCATCAGCTATGTAGATAGTATTACATACTGATTCCCTTGCTGATAGTTGAAAATATAAAGCATTGTCCATTACAAATTATTTTAGGCAGAGCTGCTTAGCTCAGGCATAGAGAAAATCATGCTTTGCTTTCTTCCGTCTGCTGCAGACAAAACAAGGGCAGCCGAGAGTGCGTGCGAGCTTTGTCCTCCTCAGCTGCGTGGCTGCAGGATGGAGATGCTGAACACAGGGACCACAGACAGGGCTTCCCTTGTTGAGGAAAAGAAGATGGGAGCTTGCCTCCATCCCATTTTACTTATTTATGTATCTAAGATGGGTTTGCTTAGGAATGCAACAAAAGATTATTCAGGCTGTTTTGTTTGGTTCTGTTTTTCAGATCAATGTTAATGACAGCCTGTGACCTTGGAGCCGTGACCAAACCGTGGGAGATCTCAAGACAGGCAAGTGGTGATTAATGGCAGGGCTCAGCAGAGGAGGGACTGGGGGTCGGGGTACGATATTCCCAGAGCCCCGACTACCAGACTCTGAGACCCTCGTCAATTTGCATCAGTATTAACATGATGTAAAAAATAGCAGGAGGCTTCGGCTCCACATGGTTTATTGCCCAGTCTTTCTTTATGGTGTTTCTACCAACTAATATTTCTGACTCTGGAAGATTTTTTTTTGTTAACACACTAAATCCAAATAACACTTTGACTATTTCTTACAGCAAGCATTAAAAAATAATGTTTTGAGTAGATAATTATGTTTTACATAAGGTTCAGCTTTTCACACCTGAAAAAAAAAACCCAAGGAGTAAAAGGAAATTCTACTTTTCTTTTTAAAGGCTATTTAGAGATCAGAGGGCTCTTTGGCCAAAGTGTGCAAAGAGCCCTCTGATCTTATCCAAAGCTAAAAATCATGCCTTCACCATCTGGTTTCACTGCCAAAACTGTTCGTTCTAAAGCAAGAATAGTTTTCAAGCCATTTTACGTTTTATGAGGCACCTACTGTGTGAACTATGGGGTCTAAAATAGTGACTTGGTATCTTAAGATTTGACATTTTAGGGGAATAAGATACATTCATATAACAATGCTCAATGTTTGCTGATTGCATAAGTAACCAATATTAAATAACTGATACATATGTACTACCTCATTTAAATCTGCAAAACCTCTTTGAAGTAGGTGTAGTTACTCTAATATGCTGAATAATGGCAACCCAAAGGTATCAGATCCTCATTCCTGACACCTGTCAACATTACCTTAAGAGGAAAAGGGGTCTTTGCAGATGTGATTAAGTTAAAGATCATTGGTGCCATCATCATTATCATTGTCATTATCGTTGTCCTGGATTTTCCAGCTGGGTCCTGAATCCAGTCACAAGTGTCATTACAAGAGAGAGGCGCAGGGAAATTAGACATTTAGAAGAGGAGGAGGCAATGTGAAGATGAGGCAAAGTTTGGAGTGATGCAGCCACAAACAAAGGGATGCTGGTAAAGGCATCAGCAAGTGAAAGAGACAAAGAACAGCTTCTTCCCTAGAGTCTTCAGAGCAGGGGTGGCCCTGCCAACCAACACCTCAATTTCTGCCAGGGACCTGATGTTGAACTCCTGGCCTCCAAAATGCATAGAGAATAAATTCCTATTGTTTTAAGATACCAAGTGTGTTGTAATTAATGGCAGCCCCCAGGAAACTAATACAGTGATTATCCCAAGGGAGGAAAATGAGACTTAGTGGTAGAGCTAGGTATTGAAATCTTAGCACATTAGGCCCCAAAGCCTTCATTCTTCACAGTGGCTTACACTTTCTTACACAGGATGCATCAATCAGCAGTTTTAAATGATGCGTGTCAGTAGCGCAGGCAACGTTACCACTAAACCCAAAATCTCTGGGGCTTAAACCAACAAATCACTCCTGAACGTGTGCATCCAGGGTGGGCTGGCCCCTCTTGTCCTCATTCTGCACTGAGGCTGAGGGAGCGGCCACCCTCTGGACCCCTGCAGCAGATGCCCTGTGGGTCCTGCACTGGCAAATAAATGCACCCTCCCAACAATTCATTGGCCAAAACCCAGCCCAACCATGCAATACAATCCTTCCTTGTGCCCAGAAGTTAAAAAGCCAGAAATAGTTATTGCCTACCACAATTTACCCTTCAAATCACACACACACACACAAGATTCATTCTCCTTCTTCAGGCAAAAGGCAAAATATGCTCATCCTCTCCCCAGGGGAGATGACCAAATGTCCCATCAGTTGTGGTCTCAAGCTTGAAGTCCAGGCCCTCTGGGTGACATATGCTGGTCTCCACATCAGGTCTGTATGCACATTAAAGCCCTATACACACCGAAAATACAGCATCTACCATACACCCAAACCACAAAATACTCATCATTACACTCCCATTGAGAAAAGGAAGAGGTGGCAACTTTTGGCAGTTGGGGATCCACAGCCACTGCAAAGTCCTCCTGGGCATTTTCCGTGAGGACTCTCTGCTCTGTGGTGGCCCGCTTCTCTAGGAGATGTTCCTGGGTTCACTATTTTCCATGGCTTTTAGCTCCACCCTGGAAATTATTCCCTTTTCATTATCTTCCTTGGCTATAGCCCAAAGCCAAGAAGATTTCTCAGCCCACTTTCCACCTAAAGAAGGATGAAGATCCAAGGCTTCTTTCAAATTTTAAGTAGTCACAGGCTTGTGGTCAGTTTGGGCACCAACGCTCCCTTAAACATCTAGTCAGCGCCTCATGCCTTTGATTCTCCTGATCTCCATTTACCAGCACCCACACCCATAGTTCTGTTCTGTACAAATGTTTCAGATCTGCTATATTTCTTTGCTTCCTTATGTTCAGGAACAAAGAAATAGGCAAATATAGTTTTCTTTTTTTCTCTCTCATGACCTAATTCCCAGCACGTTGTGCCTAACGGGCACTGCCAGTGAGAGAGCCGTGTAGTTAAATCTCTTCTCTGGGCCATTTTGTGCAATTGAAAGGACATCCTGTGTGCCACCTGATTCACTGAGTTTTCAACTACGGATGCACTGACCATACCTTCTGTCTGACTCTTGTTGCAAGACTGAGTCCTAATCAACCTTTGTCATTCAAAACATATCTCAATTTTTGTTTTTAAAGTTTGGGGTTAAGAAGCAGCTTCATCTTCCATCCCTACAACACCCTGAATTTTGACTTTATTTCCTCTCATTCCTGGTTATAAACCTGCCAATCCTTTTCTGAGCTCACTTCTAATAATACCTAGCAAAACAGTAAATAGCAAACATCACATGCTACTAATACTTTGTTTTCCCATCTCTTCCCTAAGGCTATAAGTTCATTTGTGTCATTATTTGCTTTATTCCAGTAAGGATCGTACAGAATGGTTTGCCATTATGTAACATGGATCAGCCATCATCCTTATAGCATCCAACCACCATCTCCTCACTGTTTTGTACCTGCCCCCAAGCTAGTACCACATATTTTAGGGTCTTCTCCTTTCCTTCTTTTCTTTCTTTTTTCCCCTTTCCTTTCTCTGCCCTGTGTTCCTTCTTACTTACCTTCCCAACCAACCTTCCCTCCCTCCCTCCCTTCCTCCCTTCTTTCCTTCCTCCCCCCCACCCTCTCGCTCTCTCTCAGCAGCACCTCACTTCCAAAGCGGTTTTGGTGTCAATCAAGGCTAAGCTTTGCTGAGTTAACAAATATATTCTCAAATATTAGTTGCTTAAATATAAACAAATAAAGGTTAATTTCTGGCTCATATCACAGTCCAGTGCAAATTGGGTGGTTTTCCTATAGAACTCTCCTTCAGTAAATAGCTCTCTTCCAATGGAGCTTTTCATTTCATTGTGGCATATTTGAATGTACATGAAGCAAAATAACTGTGAAGAGTTTGTGGTTGGGCAACTTATTTATACATCTCTGACCACCTTTCACTTCCCCCGTGTGAGAAGGCCTCTCTCGCAGTAAAGTCTGAAAATCATTAGCAAAAGAGAGATAAGGCGACTCTGGCAGGTATTGGGGGAAAGTGTAGTACTGGGCATGGCCACTGTGATAGGGATGGGAAGGGAGGGGAGGGGCGGAGCATGGGAGAAAGCTAGGGGGCTGGGGGAATAGAGGAGATTGGAAAGGGAGTGGGCTGAGGGATGGAGTGTCAGGACCTTCAGACACGCCAGCACAATGCATGTCAGGAGCTAAAAGAGCAGGAAGAAAAAAGGTTTCTGCTGGGTGTTTTAGACCAAAGAGACCAGAGCCACCTGTAGATGGTTTTCCTGGTGACTGATGTAAATATCATTTTATTTTCAGGATGTGAACTTTTGCTAATAAGTGTAGAAACTCAAGAGTTCAAGGAAATAAAACTCAAAGCCATGTTTTTTCTAACATGTCATTAGACGTCTTGTCACACCTCTAAACTGGAGATCTCATTCGTGTTTGTCTCTGAATCGGTTAAGGTATTTTAAAAAACATAATCACTTCTATGATTTTAGGGAAAATGTGGACAAAAACAATGGAACCTTCTTTTAAAAATATAAATATGTTTCTTATTTCCTGGAAGTTGATTTTTTAAAATTCCCTTTCAATGTTTAAAAAAAAACTGGTGACTATTCTGCTTTTCCTTCCTCACAGACATGATTGTAAGCATGTGGGTTTCCCCAGTGAGCCCCTAAGGCCTGATTAGCATCTCAATTTCCTTCCTTAATACAAAATTCAATCACAAGTCACTTAATGTTCCTGTTTGGGTTTTTAAGTACAAACAAAACAGTGGTACAAATCGAGTGTGAAAGAAGCCCAGGGGAGACACCCAGGACCGCTCTAGAAAGATCAAGGACAAGATTTTGCTTTAATGTATTTGCTTTCTGGGGGCTGCAGACCTATATAGGACTCCCGCCTTGGCTGACCTGATTGTACACTCGCATTCTTTAGTGCAGAAGACCCACCTCAGAGCAATCTGAGGGCGAGTTCTGGGGACTGAGGAAATAAGGTCAGGCCCATGGGGAACCATTCATTCTTTGTGAAAAAGGCCAGGAGCATGAGAGATAGGCCTGAAGCACTAGCGTGAAAGGTAGTGGCAGAGCCTGGAGAGCAGAGAAGTGCACAAGTCCTAGAAAAACTGAGTCAGTTCCAACTAGTTTTATACTGTTGAATTTTTTAAATGTTTAAAAACTGAACTGACTAGATATTCTATTTCTCTATAAATGACTGTACACTCGCTACTCTCAGATTTGTATGTGGGTGCGTGATGAAGACTTATTTTTCACAAAAGTGCCTGAAAGATACCCTCAGGCAAATGATCTTGATTCTACACACTTGACCAAAATCAAGGCATTCTAGTCTTTACCAGGCCTAAGAACCTCATTTTTATAAGAGCCTAGAATAGGGAGAAATTAGGCTGGGGATCCAGATCTTCTTGCCATCAGGTTGTCTAGGATTCCCCGCCCCCTCCCCCCCCCCCGCCCCCGTTCTTGCAATAGTCTGTGAGTGCAGCTAGTTCCTCTCTGAGATTTCCTCTCTAACACACACCACAGTGTAGCGGCACACGCCTGTTCAGCACTTCCCTGTCATGTCAATCTGCTTCCCGTAAAGCTGTTCTTAGAAGCACAGGGCTAGGAAAGGGAGAGAGTCTCTTTAGCTTCACTGTGATTGGTAGCTTCTGACCATCCACAGGAAAGGATGAAAGGTGGAAAAACACAGGTTCTTACTTTGGAAAAATATCTGCAGTTTGGAGTACCATAGCCATACCATTGTGCTTGTACCAGCTAGAACCTACCACTACACTCGTAGTACAGAGACAATCTGAGGAGCAAATCATGTTCTTCAAACCATATCATGACACACTGTAAGTGCAGCTAATGCTGCCCCGTGGCTGACTGCTCCAGCAGGCAGCAGAGGCGCGCCCCACAGTTGCTCCCTCCAGGGTGCATGCGGATATTGGTAGGGAGAGGCAATTCAGGAGTTTTTTGTGATAGCAAGTTTAAACCAGTCTAAGATAAATGTATGCAATGATGTTAAGAATCCACAGAGAAATACCCAGAAGTGGATCAAATTATTATGGCAAATATATTTCAATAATACATTATAATAAATTATTATTAGGTTAGTATTTGCTTCATTTTCTGGATACGAGCATTTCCTGCTTTGAAGGTGGCAACCCAGGTGCTTCATCCCACATATGTGAGCTGTCAGTGCTGTGGGAAACTGTCTCACGGCCTGCTTCTGAAACTGCGCTGCACAAGTTCTTCCGAGTAAAAGGAAATCGGTTTTGTTGATTAAATTTTGTAACAACTTCAAACACGAAAGGTTAATGTACTTCCTCATAAGCCTTGAAAATGATTGTCTGTGTTGCAGCAATCAGACAAGAAAAAGAAATAAAAGGCATTCAAATCGGAAAGGAGGAAACAAAACTGTCACTGTTTGCAGATGACATGATAGTATACATAGAAAATCCTATAGACTCTACCAAAAAACTGCTTGACCTAATAAATGAATTTGGCAAAACAGCGGGCTACAAAGTCAATATCCAGACATCAAAGGCATTTCTGTACACCAACAATGAAACAGCAGAAGCAGAGATCAAGGAAAAAATCCCATTTGAAATAAGCAAAAAGAAAAATAAAATATCTAGGAATAAACCTAACCAAAGAGGTAAAAGACCTGACCTGTATTCAGAAAACTACACAACATTGAAGAAAGAAATCAAGGAAGACACAAACAAATGGAAACATATACTGTGTTCATGGATTGGAAGAATTAATATCATCAAAATGTCCATACTACCCAAAGCAATTTACACATTCAATGTAATTCCTATTAAAGTACCAATGGCATATTTCACAGACATAGAACAAACACTTCAAAAAATTTATATGGAATTATAAACGACCCCAAATAGCTGCTGCAATTTTGAGAAAGAAGAGTAAAGTAGGAGGGATCACAATACCCAACACTAAACTATACTACAAGGCTACTGTAATCAAAACAGCCTGGTACTGGCATAAAAACAGGCACATAGACCAATGGAACAGAACAGAGAGCCCAGAAATAAGCCCAAGTCTCTATGGTCAATTAATATTTGACAAAGGAGGCAGCAACATAAAATGGAGTAAAAATAGCCTCTTCAACAAATGGTGTTGGGAGAACTGGACAGCCACGTGCAAAAAAATGAAACTTGAGCACCAACTTACACCATATACAAAAAATAAATTCAAGGTGGATAAAAGACTTAAATATAAAACATGACACCATTAAAGTCCTAGAGGAGAACGTAGGTAGGAAAATCTCAGATATTTCACGAAGAAACTTTTTTAATGACGTGTCCCCTAGAGCAAGGGACATAAAGGAAAGAATAAACAAATGGGACCTCATCAAAATTAAAAGCTTCTGCACAGCTAAAGAAAACAGTATTGAAATTAAAAGAGAACCAACTGTATGGGAAAACATATTTGACAATGACACCTCAGACAAGGGTTTAATCTCCAAAATATATAGAAAACTTACACGACTGCACTCTAAGAAGACAAGGAATCCAATTAAAAAGTGGGCAAAGGACTTGAACAGACACTTCTCCAAGGAGGACATACAGGAAAGTCCAAAGACACATGAAACGAGGTTCAATATCGCTAGCTATCAGAGAGATGCAAATTAGAACCACAATGAGATACCACTTCACACCAGACAGAATGGCCATCATAAACAAAGCAACAAACAACAAGTGTTGGAGAGGTTGTGGAGAAAAGGGGACCCTAGTGCACTGCTGGTGGGACTGCAGACTGGTACAACCACTATGGAAAGCAGTATGGAACTTCCTCAGAAAACTAAAAAATGGATCTGCCTTTTGACCCTGCAATTCCACTGCTGGGACTCTATCCTAAGAATACTAAAACACCAATTCAAAAGAACCTATGCATCCCAATGTTCATAGCAGCACAATTTACAATAGCTACATGCTGGAAGCAACCAAGATGCCCATCAGTAAATGAATGGATCAAAAAACTATGATACATTTACACAATGGAATTCTATGCAGCAGAAAGAAAGAAGGAGCTCCTACCCTATGCAACAGTGTGGATGGAGCTGAAAAACATTATGCTAAGTGAAACAAGCCAGGCAGTGAAAGACAAATACCATATGATCTACCTTTAACAGGAACCTAAATAACAAAACAAAGAAACAAACAAAATGTAACCAAAGACACTGAAATAGAGGACAGGCTGATGGTGACCGGAGGGGAGAGAAGAGGGAATTTAAGGGGACAGTGGGAAGGGTTCACAGCAACAAACTTAAAGGACACATGGTCATAGACTAAGGGGAGGGTGGTAATGGGAGGGAAGTGGGGAGGGTGGGAGGGGGGACTGGATTGGGAGTAAAAAGGAGAAAACTGTATTTGAACAATGACTAAAATAATAATAATAATAAAAAGATTAAAAGTGAAAAAAAAGAAAAAAAGAAAATGATTGTCTGTGTTGAAGATAACTGCCACACACATAAGCTAACTCCCAAGCCTTGTGATAAAGTACACACAGCTATACACTAAAGTATTTATATATTTCAGGTGGCCGAACTTGTAACCAATGAGTTCTTCGAGCAAGGAGATCGGGAGAGGTCAGAACTCAAACTCACTCCTTCTGTAAGTTCATCCTTTTATTATGATGCATCTACCCTTTTGAGTGATACTTAAAAAAAAAGACTCCAAAGTACAACTTTAAAAAGGGAAAAATTAAGAATGGATTTAAGGAAGCACTCCTGAAAGTTTAAAACTTTAATTATACTTACACTAAACACTCTTATTCCCAGGTTTCTGATTAAGAGTGGTGAGCTGCTTAATAAGAATCTCCCAAGCACCCACGGGGCGGGGGGTTGGGGGGACAAGTAGGCACAAGGGAGGATGCACAGAGTGGCATGTGATCACTCAGAGCCCAGCGCTGGCTGGCATTTCAGACGTGGTCAATGACTACATTGGAATAAAAATACGGGGGAAACATTAAAGGCCAGCTGTTCAGCCTTCAGGAGCTAGAACAGACAGCTGCAGTAAGTAATGGATATTCGAGATTTAATTTTCAATTTTGAACATTCCAAAATCTCAAAAACAAATCATTTTAAGTCTCTGTGTCTATTCTTTTTTGCAAAATGAAAAGTTTCATCCAGGAACTTAGGTTCAGCTGATTGAAATGCTACTTATGTTGGATTCATTCATTTGAATATTATTTGAGAATGCTTACTGTAGGCTCAGGATGGTGCTGTTTTCACTCATCGGGTTACAAAAGATGTAAATACCTTGGTCACTGCCCCTCACGGATGGGCTGGCCTCTTTATTCTTAATGAACGGTTAGCTAAAAACCCAACAAATTTAAAAATGGTGCAAAATATTTTAATGGCTGTACAGCACAGGAGAGTCAATGAAGTTCAAGAACTGTGTCAGTTGTCAGCAATGTCTATTTACGACAATCATCTGGTGAAAGACACTCAGGTTGTTTCCATTCCTGACCACCAGGAATGATGCTTCAGTGAACATAGGGTTACAATTTTCTCCAAAATATGGCTAAATTTTCTCAACATTATAATATAAAGTTTAAAGGCTGGGGATAATGAGGAGAAAATGGGTCCCTTCTACCATCATCCATCCAATAGTAGGTAAAAAATTTTGGTTTTTATCCATGACACATGGAACTTTATTTTTTTAATCCTCACCCAAGGATATGCTTGTTGATTTGGGGGAGGGGAGACAGAGAGAGACATCAATTATTTGCCTCCTGTTCACACCCCAACCAGGGATTGAACCCACATTCTCCTGGTGTATGGGATGATGTTCTCCCGGCAACTGAGCAACCCAGCCAGGGCCAGACAGAACTTTTCTGAAGAACACGCAGAATTGCCAAACAAACACCCCACCCTGAAAAAAATTAATACAAATACTCCCTATTTAAAGTGAAATTGCTTTTAAGGATCTTTTTCAATCTATCCCACTCTCTTTCACTATAAAAATAAAAGCCTGCCATTATTTTGGTGGCAGTAAAACACATCCCATTCCCCTTGACTTGTACCCAGTTCCCAGTGACCTGATGACTTGATTTAGTGGCAGTTACCTATATCTGAAGACAGATTTTGGCCCCAAGGAGTTGTGTGCTATAAAGTTCAAATAAATTCGCTTACAAGTCTCATAAAAGAGGTGGAAATACTTTATTTCTCATCATTGATAAAGGAAAAGAATGTACGTGTAAAGACTGGTTGTAATTTGTGAAGTGTTCATTTGGAAAAATTGGATCATTGCGGGAAACTGTTTGACAAGGCATTTGTAAAATTCTGCATTGTAATAAAGCAAGGTCCCCCACCCCCATTCTAGGCTATTTTTGATCGGAACCGGAAAGATGAACTGCCTCGGTTGCAGCTGGAGTGGATCGATAGCATCTGCATGCCTTTGTATCAGGTAATCGCAGTTTGGGAGGGCGCGTGTGTCCTGACTGAGCGAGAGGAGTGCACGTACTGTACTTTCCACTTCAGTTTGGGGAGGCTCGTCTGGCGCGTATGTTTCTAAGAACTGTGGTTACCCTGGACCTTCTCTCAGATTGCTGATTCTGTCCTGACATAAATTGGTACTAGTAGGCTGGGGAACCGAGGACATAATCTTCACAGGCCTCAACTCCTTCATTTGTAACTCGGGGATAATAATGTTTTTCTCAGTATTTCTCTACCCAGCCATCACCTAATAGTCTCTCCCGAAGGAGAGCTTGCAGGCCCTGCAACTAGGAAATCCCCTGCACATCGAAATACTGCCGGCTCCGACAGGTCCTTCAGGAAAGAAGCTTGTTTAACCTTGATTAACTCTAAACTTCTCAAGCAATTGGACATGGAAATCTTTTTCCCTTTTATACTTTTTCTTTTGCTTATATTAATACCATGAGATTTCCATGAATCCTGATTTTTGGCTCTGACCCCATGGTCTGGGCCACGGAGTTTTGTGAAGCACCTTCCACCTTAAAATCCCTCTGAGATGCATGTGACAAGTGCTACCACTGAATTCTGAGCAAAATGCATTCACGCTTTCAGCTCTGCTGCCTGGTGTTCAGGACCCTGGGCCTGGCAAGGAGACAAGCGCCATGGGCTTTGACTGTTCGCTCTCCCCGTTTCGAGTATGGACTAGGGAGGCATCAGTTCACGTGAACAGTTTAGCGCACACTGGCTTTTAATTCTACTTCCAAGCATTTGCTTTCCTGTGTAAAACCCAGTGAGCTATTTACCCCCCACCTAGCTCAATCAGTCTGAACTTCTTTTCTAACTTCAGATGAAAATCACATGCAGGGAAAGCAGAACTGCTTCACTTGCTCACTCTGAGTAACTCCATTAAGAACAGTATTGTTTTTTAAGGACCTCACATCATTAAGTTTCACACTTATCTACCACTTCGTTTTCAGCACTTTGAGGAACTACTGAGCCCTGTCACATTAACCTGAAAAAAAATACTGCCTTGAAGATGGAAATGTAATTTTTTAATATTTATAAATAACAAAAGTTAATTCATTTTTTGTTTTAGGTTATCCATGCAACACATGATCATATAAAGTCAAAGTTCAAAATAATCTAAAATAGATTCTTTTAGTTATAACTGGAATGTAATGTTCCTTTATTTAATAATGAAATATTGGATGAAAAATCAAGAATGACGCACCCTTTATTTTAAGAGGGCCCTTAACCCTCTTTTCTGCCTGCTCCTCCCCTCCTTGACCTTGGTATCTCTGAGTAAGCTGGGCAGCGCTTTAGTTGGGCGGACCTTCCTCTGCTAAGTTGACTTGATAACGCATGTTGAATTATTTTTTTATGTTGTTCAGTTTTTTGTGCCCCTTTAGGCAATAAATGGGATGAATAAATTATTCTTGTAATGAGTAAATTCCTTCTTTGTGGGTAAAGCTTAGGAGGATGAAGACATGTACTTGTGGTGCTGATAAATCTTTTGCACTGGTTTACAAAGCTATTTTGGGAATGAACCCAATGTTGACACGACCTTTCCATGTGATGATAGTAAATGCTGGAATAGCCTCTCGCATGCTTCTCCATGTTAATGTGATTGTTTCATTACTGATTCACAATCTTACATTTCTTATCGAACACTTTGAAATCTTCAGTTAAGAAGGAAGTTACTTGAGTTTAAGCTGAAAATAGCAATTTTCAGAATTTAGAGAATAATATTACCACATCACATTACTTACTATTCCTGACTTTTCACATGTTTTATTTTATTACTTATCTGTAAGGTTACATAAACCTGCTATTTTGATCCTCAGGAAGTTAACATATAGAAATGTTAATGACGCTACCAACAAATTAGAGTTGTATCCTGCTTACCCCGGGCCCTGGTTTTGGTGTGTTGGCCCTTCTACCCCCGCTGGATGGTTCATCGTCTCCTGCCTTTTGTTATTGAACTAAATGGGAGAGTCATGGCATTCTGAAGGGGATTGCGGGAGGAACTGTGTGTGCACATTTCTGTTTGTACCTGCAGCTTTGTCTCCTCACTAACAAAGCATGGAAATTGTGTTCTATTTTGAGTTCCTTCTCTCACTAACTTTTAAAAATGACCTCACGGATTCATTTGTAAATTCTTTACAAAGTTTTTAAAACAACATTTCAAAGAGCCTGCCAACTGAAACTTTGTAGAATGATTTTAAGTTTCCTCTTTTTTTAATTGAAAATATTGGGGTGACATTGGTTCACAAAAATATACAGGTTTCCAGTGTACAACTCAATAAAACCTCATCTGTTCACAGTATTGTGTGCCCCTCACCAGAGTCTCTTTTCATTCCCATTTCCCGCCTTTGGCCCACCTCCACCTACCTGGCACCCCCACTTCCCTCTGGCTATCACCATACTGCTGTCTGTATCTATATGTATGTATGTGTGTGTATATGTGTGTGTTTGTGTACATATGTATAGGTATGCACATACATATATGTATATGTGTATACATATGTGTGTGCATACAATTTTTTGCTTAATCCCTTTACCTTCTTTCATCCAGTTCCCCAGCCACCCTCCCCTCTGACAGCTGTCAGTCTGTTCCATGTATCCATGCCTCTGTTTCTATTTTGTTCATCAGCTTATTTTGTTCACTAGATTTCACATATAAGTGAGATCATAGGGTATTTGTATTTCTTTCTCTGACTGGTTTGTTTCACTTAGCACGATAATCTCCAGGTCCACCCATGCGCTTGCAAAAGGTTAAAATTTCCTTTTTTGCATGGCCAGGTAGTATTCTATTGAGGATCCCTATTTTGCTCCATCTCACGCAATGGATTTTTCATTATTGAACTAGATAATTGTGTATAACTCTTGGTGCTTCAGAACTAAAGTGGAATCAGTCAGTGGGAAGAAATCACCATTACTGCAAGGACACAGAATCTTTTGGAGGTGGCTCACTGAGCTAGGAAAGTCACTAAGGTGACACTAATTACTGAGGCAAAATGTCCGCAGGAACTCAGGCCGTTGCAGAGAAGGTTGCTGGGGTTTTGAACATGGAAGTGCAGTGGTGAAGAGTCCAAGAGGAGAGAAGGCAAACGGGAATGTGTGCAGGTGGCAGAAATCCCGAATGCAATGGACCTGAACTCACAGGGCCTCAGTCACAGAGCGTAAGAATGTACTGTGGCCTTGCTAAGTCAGCGTGGCAGAGGGCCAAAGCATACAGAATAGTACACAGGAAATGAAGAATGTCCCTTTGATTTCTTTTTTTAAAGACTTTATTTATTTATTTATTTATTTATTTATTTATTTATTTATTTATTTATTTATTTTTAGAGAGAGGGGAATGGAGGGAGAGAAACATCAATGTGCCAGAGATACATCAATCTGCTGTCTCTCACTCACCCCCAACCAGGCCTGGCCTGTAACCCAGGCATGTGCCAGTACCAGGAATTGAACTGGTGACCTTTCAGTTTGCAAGCTGGTGTTCAATCTCCTGAGCCACACTAGCCAGGGCTCTTCCATTTCTTTCCCCTGATCTTTCATTTCTTTTAAGGCCAGGGTTCTGAAGCCAAGATGGGGCAGGTTCAGGTGGCAAGAAAGCTCCCAGAGCCTGAGGGTGTTGTGTAGAGAGTTGGAATCTGCTTGCAGCTGCTTGCAGGGGAGCAGCGTGGAGAGGTGCAGTCTGGCAAGGGCCTCCACCGGAGGCTGCTGGGAGCTTCCGTAGGACCCAACTAAGAGTTTGGTGGGAAGGGAAGGGGTGCAGTTGGGCAGTAAATACAACTTTTGACTTCATCGACTTTCTCTGGATAATTTGGGTTTACCGCACGGTTCTGAAAGAGTTGTGCATGTTAGATAGCAAAGTAGATCATGCACTCTCTGCTTGCGCTCCAGTTTGCAGAGTTTTGTCTCCCCTCCAAGTGATAATGGCTAGTCTTCCATGCCTGAAGGGCTGGCTGCTCATCTGTGTGCTGAGGTGGGAACTTACAAAAAGTACACGGAACCATTTGGGATGTTCACTACATTCAAAATTGAAGCTCTTATCTCCACAACAACTTTGATTTCCAGCCGATTTGTCACTGTGTTGAGGTAAAACAATGAAGACACATTCTTTCCTCCCCCTTCCCTCCGCCCCAGTAAATCTGTTCATTAGGAAGTTTCCTCAGTACTCCGTGATTCATTAAAAGTGACTGACAGAAATACATAAAAATATAGAAATAAAATGATAGGTAAGGAAGGAAACTTCAGGGAACAGTCCCAGATCCACGGATAGTTATATAATAGAGGGATATGACATGTTTATAAATGAATATATAATTCTCCAGAATTTGCTCATCTTTTTAATCTTATGGTTCTAAACTTTTCTTTAAAAAAAAAAGAAAATTGTCCTAACAGGCAGAAGTCATGATTTATCTTTGACAGCATTTTAATCGGGAAGCATACAGAGAGCCAGGAGTGGGCTGGGAACCAGCAAAGTGTGGCCCTGGGAGAGGAGCGAAGCCTTGCATAGTTAACACAGTCCTAGCAGGGTATCTGGAGGAGCACATTGACATCTGATTCCCGTGCTCTCTGCTGTCTCTGCACCCTGCTGGGGATCCATTAGCCTGCTGCTCAACCTCTTTGGAAAGAGAAAAAAAGAAAGAATAAAAAAAGACACCATCAGACTTTGAAGTCATAGCTGCACCAGCCTTAGGGATAAACAGAAACCTGATGTCGGGGTGTCACACTGAGCTTCTCTGTGTGCAGTGGCAAGCTAAGTTTTTGCCCTGTATTTTCATTCTCCACTTAATCAAACCTTAGTGTACCTAGAATTTCAATGATGAACAGAGGCAATAGAGATCTTCTGTTTGCTAAGGATTGAGGGATATAATTTTTCTATGAACATCATCAGATTTTCAGCTCATCCCAAACTGGGTCTTCATGTTGGAGTGGATTTTTTTGCACAGATAATGCAAAAGAGCTAGACCTGGACAGACCATA